TATATAGTCGTCTTTGTTTTAAATGACTTCAGCATCATTCTGCATTTTTGCATGGTACCATGCTGTCCCCTAAGAATGATAAATGAGGAGCTGGTGGCCCCATTCTGCTGTGAGGCCCAAACTCCCTGAGTTAACTCATTTTTCAGGAAGCTGGTACAAAAGTGTATGGGCTGAAGTCAAATGCCACAAGCGAAACAGGCAAAGAGGCAAAGGCACAGCGTGAATCTGCAGAAATGTCATAGGAAAAGTGGTACTAGTCACTAGTTTAAACCAAGATCACCTGGGGAAAAGGATGGAAGGGTCCTGTTTTCCTGGATTCTGAAAACCCGATTTGGGCTTCAATAGAAACTTTCCTATTGGAGGAAAATACTACCTAGAACTCCAGGCTCCAGGGAAACCTTGAGCAACCTGCTCTAGTGGAAGGTGTCCCTGCCCGTGGCAGGGGCTGGAACTGGATGAGCTTTAAGGTCCCTTCAACACAAACCAGTCTGGGGTTCTTTGACCTGTGGTGTTGTGGAAGAGCTGAGTTTCTATGACAGTTCCCCCCTGGACCATTAAGTCCCTCCCTTTGCACTGGAAGATTCAGTGTTCTTCATACAGACAAAGTGGCAATGGGCATGGGGTTAAGAATAAAGGCAGTAGCAAAAAAAGAAGTAGTTTGCTCATTCATTTTCTGGAAACAAAGAATATAGAACTCATGAGCTAGGCTTGTGTTCCTAAAATAGAAATTGGCACTTCCAAAATAGAACCATATTCAAGTGGTTTAATGTAATCAAGGAAGGGAATAGGAAATCTGTGTCCCAGGTCTCCAGGAAAACTGGAGCGTTAAATCACAAGCTATTTCAAGGGTTTGAGATCTTCCACTCTTTGAAGTGTCAAAAAATGGCACTGGACAAAGGATAAACAGCAATTGCAGGACCTGAAGGGAGGGGGAAGGCTGGGGTGGCTCTTCGCAGAGTTTCCACACTCTGCTGCCAGCAGCAAGGCTTTAGGAGAAGTTGTGGAAAAAAATAGGTAAAGGCAGGGAGAAAAGGAAGAGGAAAGAGGATAAAATGTAATCTACTTTTACCAAAGATTTATGTCAATCTTCAGTTCAGACTTGATACGGGGAAGTGTTTCTTTACCAAGAGGGTGCTTGAACCCTGGTACAGGCTTCCTGGAGAGGTGGTCCATGCCCCAGGCCTGTCAGTGACGAGGAGGCATTTGACAATGACCATAATAATATCCTTTAAGTTCTGGTCAGCTCTGAATTGGTCAGGCAGTTGGGCTGCATGATTGTTGTAAGTCCCTAAAATAGTCTATTTTAGTCTATTTCTATTCCATTCCTATTCTCATTCCATTCCTACTCACATTCTATTCGTAGCAATCTCCACAAATGCATCAGCAGAAGCATTTCTAACACAGACCAGTAAGTTTTTAATATCACTTATCAAAACCTCAGTGAGATCTCATCTGGATTATGGTGCCATAATGCTATACCATAATGCACGGTATACCATAATAATGCTCAAGACATTTCCAATCAAACTGTAATATGTACAACACAGGAATAGTTTGTTGCCTTTGGGAAGGGTGTCTGTCTAATGAGAGGGATTTAAAAGAAAATTGAAGTTGAGAGGGGAATTATGGCTATCTGCAATAACTGTAGACAGTGAACACCCTGGAGGAATAAAGAGACATGGACCATCACAGGAACAAATAGTACAAAATGACCAGTAATCAGTTCAGCCTGGAAATCAGAAGTGGGTTTAACCATTGAAGGACAACATCATTTCAATAGAATTACCCAGGGCAAAATAAATGAACTTTCAACTATTGACTTATCATTTTTTAATAGAAGCACATTATGTGACAACACAGAAAACTGAGGGACTGAGCTCTGCAGGTTCTTCCTGTAGCGGGTGACCTGGGCAACTGAAAAACCATATTTCCTGTGGGAATTACATCCTTCCAAGGAACTTAGGCCACAGGAGATAATCAGAGGTCTCTCTGAAGGTCCTGTGGTGCTAGACAGATACTTTAGTTTCTAGCTGTGTTGGAATAATTCCAGTGCAATGGTACTACAGGCTTATAAATGGTAGAATCTCAGTTAGAACTGAATTTCCTATCAGTTTCTGGCAAAGAAAGATCTCTGCAACTTTGCAGAGCTAAGGCACATGGGAAGCCTTGTTTTACCTGGGAGAAGAGTGTTTCATGAGAAAGGAAACTACTGCTTAGGCTGAAACCTGGAAATACTGTGACCTGATAGTTCTTGATTTTCACAGCTGTAATGAGTGAGAAATGATTTTGGGAAGTGCCTTTTGCAGTTTCTCTCACTGAAGTGCTGAAGCGAATTGAGCATCTTACATTAAAGTTCGATATTGTCATTTTAAGTCTTTATCATTGCATACCACTGGTTTAACCACCAAATAGGACATTTGCAGATACCAAATTGTACATAAATGCAGGCAGTTTCCAGCAACACGACTCTGTTCAGCTGCCATAACTCATGCAAAAGGCAGTTTCACATGTGCCGCAGGATGAGCTTTGCTCTTTCTTTTCCGTGCATTGTACCTGAAGCTCCACAGTTCTCACTTCTCTTATTTCCTTTGTTCCTGCTGCCAATAGACTGTTTAGAACAGGAACTTCTGAGCTGTTCTTTGTGTTTATTTCTGTTCCAAAGCTTCTGAAATATTACAAGTTTTGGAAGGATAACAGTGGTTAAATGGAATGAAATGAGGATATTGTTCATGTCATTAACTGTCTGAAAGTCTGATGTGGGCTATAAAATTTAAAGGCAGGTGAAGAGCGAATCCTTTTTTAAAAGGCAATATTGATTTCTATTTAACTACAAAACCAGTGATTTATTTAACTGTCCATAACACTGAATTCTTTTCCTCAGCCTGAGGTTCTCGAACAAATACAGAATCTAAAGGAGTTGTGGATGGACAACAATTCCTTGCAAGTACTACCTGGGGTATGAACATTTATTTTATGTAATTAACTTACTGTGTGATACAGTGAAGTATTTATAGTGAACAAATGCACGTGCATTTCCTTGGATGGGTACATATTCCTGGTTCATGTAGTCATTAATTATTATCAAGACATAAGTCTCAGCAGAGCCATTCCTCTGAGAAGCTTTTCGATGTTGTGTTATTACATGATAGTGTCTAAGAGGGAATGTGCCAGCTTTATTTAAGCCTTGGGTAGTTTTCATTGTGAGGGGATGTTGCTTCTTCCCCATCACCATGTGTTAACTACCCCTTCTATAAAAACCCTTGTGAGTTTTACAAAGAAGAGGAAATATTAAGTAATCTACATAAGCTTACAAATAACAGATGGTAGGTACAGATTGAACTAAGCTAAAAGCAGTTCTGAGGCAGGGGCACAAGATGTGTTTCTCTAGAAAGCACTCCATTTAGAAATGGAACAAAAGGCATTTTACAATGCAAACATTCGGGTCATGGTTATATACCAGTGCTGTTTCTGAAGTGTTGCTACTCACAGGAGAACTTTGATTTTCAGTTTTTATTGCCGTGGATTGTTTGAGATGGTCACTCTCAAATCCCCACAGTGATTATGGCTGGAGACGGGGCTCCCCGTTGTTAGGGTTTTAACACACAGGTAGCAACACGCCATGGGTTTCGTGCAGTAATGCTCCTTATTGCTGCAGGGAGAATGTAAAACTAAATCTAGCACCAACGTGTCGAGGTGTTGGAAGAAGTGCCGCCTCCTCCTTCACTTTTGAACGTTTGTGAATCGAAATAGAATGTTTTGCATTGAGCAATGGCTCTGTTTTGGTTTAACTAGTTTACATTTGGTTTTTATTCTGTGCTAAGCAGATGTTTGCATGGAAAATTATAATTATGAGTCTCTGTCCAAATCTCCACTTTGAGTGCTCTGTCAGTGCAAAGAACACCTGATGTGGAAACCACTTCTTATTACTGAAACCAGCTGGAGACCAAGAACTGAAATAGCGCAGTATCGCTGCTGCAGTGTATCCGAGCAGAAGGAATAGCAGATCCACAAGAGAGTGTGGGCACAATCGTTGTAACCACTGTTCCGTTTGTTTCCTGTTCACAATGAAACGGGTTAATACATCCAGTGCTAAAAAATATTCCCAGCGCAGCCCTGCTGAGCTGCCAGAATCCCTGGAGAGGATCTGTAGAGGTGAAAAAGTTCAAGGAGATCGTGAAACTGAATCCCAAGGAGCATAATTATTTCAGCAAAGAATTCGTGTTTCCTGAATCTGATCCTCGTAGATCCTAGATGATGTTTTCTGAAAACCTTCTTCACGACAAGAGGTTTAAAGCAGTTAATATTAGCCTTAAAATTTGGCTTTTAAAAATAGAAAGGCAATGCCAAGTGGTACTTGATTGTAAGATTTAGAGATTTGCCAGGTTTCCAGTGTGGTTAATTCAGGTTTTTAGATAGTCTGTGCTAGAAACAGCGATTGTGTTCAACTGTTAACACGGGTAGAATGGCGAAGGTTGGGTGAAAGGCAGATTTTCCTTTTACACAACACTCAGTTAGGATTAAAGGTGAGATGAAACTGCCTCTGTAGAAGCAAAGAGGAGAATTCCTGTCCTGTTGCTCATTGATGCTCTAGATGCAGATAAACACTGTACTCATAAACGTCTATCATGGGAGTTTACCCCTCATTTGAACTGTGGATGTCCAAAGTCCAGTTCTAGAGTCTATAAAATTCAGAGAATCAGTTTGATGCAGAAGAGTTTTACCTGCATGTCCAGCCTCAGTGCTCTTCAGGACTGCTGAGTAGATATGACTTGGGAGTAAATACCCTTGGATCTGTGTCCAAATGAAGAAATAATACAGCTGAATGAGAACTCAAACCTTCCACAGATTTAATGGCTTTGGAACACATTATTTAGCTTGGCATGTGTTGTTTAGTCTGGTGCGGTTGCTTTTGCAGTTGTTGTGACAGGGGGGTGTTAGCCCACCACTGGTACTGCGGCAGTGAAGTAAAAAGGCTGCGGAGATAACTGAATATGAGCCTGTGTTAGCATTGCTTGTCTTTAATTGAACTTAGAAGCTGGCATGCAGTGTCTATCTGTTCAAGTAACGCTTTGTAACATGCTATTAAGTCTATAGGGAAGTTAAAACAGCTCGTGTACCTGGATGTGTCAAAAAACAGGATAGAAACTGTGGATTTGGACATATCAGGATGTGAAGGACTTGAAGATCTCCTGTTGTCATCCAACATGTTGCAGCAACTGCCAGACTCCATAGGTGAGAAAAGCTCAGGATTTCTTGTAATCTTTTACAGCTGAGGATTTAATTTGTATCTTTTTAGGAGGTGATTATGAGACTTTATAATAGCTGGAACAAGAACTGCCATTAAATTCCAAAGGAGTTGGAAACATCTCTGTTTGGAGCATCCATGAAGACCATTTTGAAAAGTTAGGGAAAAAAAGCCCTGGTTAGAAGATATTGATTGTTCTGCTTTGCTATTTTAAAGAGAATAATCAAAGAAAGATATAATTGAGCTGATCTGAATTGGAAAGTAAGTATAATAGTGATTATGTTAGCAGCATGAGACTCTGGAAGGAAATTGCTGCTCTTAGTTACAGTAGTGCAATTCCATATGAGAGCATTAAACACAGACATAGTTCAAACTACTGGTTTTCTTTTTTGAGTATATTGCATGCACAGAATTTCTGAATTATTTAGAATATGCAGAAATTCTGGAAGCTGAGTGGTTGTAGGTGTATCACTGTGTATCTGCATGTTTCACACTGGTCTTGATCCCTTCTATTTGCTTTGGCAATGCTTGAAGTCTTTCTTCTACTGCTTCCAGCTGATGAGCCCACTAAATCACTATCATCATCATGTTTTTCACCTTCCTAAGTGTGTCCCTTTAACATGGAACTCTGAAATTCTCCAATCTTAGTCAAGATTCCCAAGTGTATTGCTAACTAATGCTCCTATGCTACAGGGATGGTATTGGATGTCTTTTACAGCTCTTTTCCATGTTGGTTGTCTACACTGCACCCTAAATTCTAGAGGTTTGGTTTTATGTGGATTTCTGATGTGTATCTGCAGATTGGTTTTCAGGGGGGATTTAGCTCCTGAATAAATGTGTACTCTTTTAATTACATATTCTTGCAACTGGATGTATTCAGTTCTCATTTCCAAATTCCCATTACTCAATGGTACATTACCATTTAACAGGAGTAAAGCAAAAAGAGACACTTTCATGCTGCATTTACTAGCATCCTTTTTAATGATACTTTTCATTGCTTCAGTTTTCATATTATAGCACATTCAGTTTAGTATTTTTTCTATATTAGTGATTAATTTATATTATTCCCAACATTAATTGCAAATAGTTATTTAAAAACTGCTATTTCAGTGCAGAATTCTTCCAGGGAAAAACCAGATTTTGAAATGTTAATAACCTGCAGAAGGTGGAAATCAGTTTCTAGCACTACAATGCAATATTTTTCCCATTTTTTCTGGTTTTGTTATTGTCTTCTGCAGTTTTGCCCTGATAAAGCAGAAGTTTCATTCCCTTCTTGGTGAATGTTACCCAGTTGTGCATCTGCTTACCCTTAGATGTGTAATAACTCTTCAAATGATAAGAATGAACCACAGATACAAACACATTCAGGATAGATTCTGGTTTTCAGTCAGATTCCAATTTTCTTTCTATACCCACGTATTGTGAAGCTTTATAAATGCTGCATTAACTTTAGATAATTTGCCTCATGTCCTGTTATGACCTGAGCACCTTTTAATTGAGACAACAGGACTTGAACTCAATAGAAACATTAACAGATAAGCAGAAATTTAATATTTCACTTGCAGTTCAGCTTGACATTTAATCAGTGCTTCATTTTGATGACACACATTGTCAATGGGACAAGAATGTGGCTGTGCACTGTCCTGTATACACGTGTTTTCTAAACTCTAGATCAGGGCTATTCAGCATCAGAAATCACTGTTTGTTGAAGGATATGGGGGATTACAGGAAGTAAAGATGAATATGAAATGTTTCACTATTACTTCTTCCTTCTGTGTTTTGTAGGGCTGTTGAAGAGGCTTACAACTTTAAAAGTAGATGACAATCAGCTTACAATTCTGCCAAATGCGATTGGAAAGTGAGTATAAGTCTTATGACTGTTAGCATTAAGGAAAATGTGTTTTCCCTTCTGCTTCTGGAATGTGGGGGGGGTAAAATGAAAAATATGACAAAGATGTTTTGAATTACAAAATAACTTAAAACCATGTACCTAATACCAGCTTATCACATTTAGATTTGACACAACACTGTTACTTCTGTGGACTTACACTGCTGTAAGTGATCAGAAGATGAAATATATCACATTTTCCAAGGAAAAGAACAAAGATGTTTTTCTGTGTGAATCACTCACAATTTAGATGATTAGAGCAGGAAAAGTGGAAGAACCAGAGGGATTTGGGGGAATACGTCTGTTCCCATAGCAACAGCCAGGCCTCGATGCTGAGAAGAAAATGGCTATAAAGCTCCTGTGTATGGAGAGCTCTTCAAGTATTGAAGCAGCAGAAATGAAAAAGTCATGAGCGTTTCATAGGTGTGTGCATCAAAGTGTGGCAGTGTCCTGTCAGTAATCCTACTATGAAAAGCACTAATGATGCCCTTTAGCTACTGTTTTGTCAGCTATTACATGATTGCTGGTGCAAAATTCAGTCTTGTACTGCTGTGTGGTGAGCTTATTGCTAAATGAAACCTCCAATTTGTTGTAAAACTCAAGGTGGGTGTTAGCATGTCTTTGAGCATGGAAGTGGGTGATTCTTTATAAAGTTACACACTGCACGTATCCCTCTAGCAGAACATACCTTGAACATTGATGTGTTTGTAGGGTGTCTCTTTCTCAACATGTTTTACTTCTGAAATGCTATATAAACAGGTATATGGGGGGAAAATAAGAATATCTGGTCCCTGGCTGCCTTCTGCAGGTAGAGAACTGGTGACTTCATCATGCACTTGCACCAGCAGTGCTATTCCTGCAGGAGAGAGAAGAGAGTTCAGCCTAAGGAAGGACTGTCTGCCTGGCCCGACTGAACAGTTGGTTGTACCACTTGTATCAGCCGTGGGAGTCGGGCATCACCGGGCAGGTTGCACTCAGGCTCTACCTTTGCTGCCAGTCCACTGTAGCTCAACAAAGAGTTTCATCAGAGGTAGTTTTCTCAAGCCAGGGCTGTTTGGAGGCTCCCAAACTTAAAGCCTGGAAAAAGCTTCATTTAGACTTGTCCAGAAATACAATAGTAAGTGAGGCCTCTAGAACAGAAATGATCTCTAACTGCACAGCCAGTGCTCTGCTACTCCTGCACCCATCTTACACTACTAATTTCAATAATAATTGAGTTGTTGGTATGCCATTTGGGAAAACAAATCCAGATCTATGAACTATTACAACTGTAGCAACTGAAAGCTCAGGTTGGGATTACCACGTTGCACTTCCTGCAGTGTCTGTAGATCTGTGGGATATTCATGGAGAGCATTAAGAGTCAGTTATATGAACCACAAAAGGGCAAATCTTTGCTCTACAAACTATGGTGTAGCACTAAATTCTGATAGGCAGGGAAAGCTTGTGAGGCTCTGCAGAAAGGTTGATATAATATCCAACATTAACTAGTTTGGATGAAATTGTTAAAAACTTTTCAAACCTTTCTTATTTATTGAATTGCTCAAGTTGAAGGAGAACCACCCCCTTTTTTTAACCTTATATATGTTATTTGTCATGGAGCTTTAATTACAGTCGTAAAGACACATAGTGCTGCTCTGACTGGTGTATATGCAGAGCACCAAGCTAATCAGGTAATACTATCACGTTAGTTTTGAGTGGTACTTTTCAACGAAGTACTCTCATTTAATGAGGACAATGTCTCCCACATCAAAATGAATTTCCTTGCTCTGACTCATCCATTTGGATGGTTTCCTACTGGGTCTGTGTCTCCTTAATGATAGTAGTAGTCAGTACCCACTGCAGAGTACATTGTTGTCACACAAAGATTAGCAATGTGGAGGAGGGAACTCTCCCTCCAGAGACCAATTTCCTGATGAGACACAAAGTACTTTGCCACTGTCAGAGTCAATGTTGCTCATAGGAAACCACCACCCTCATTTTTGGCAGTCTTGTTCAAAGGGCAAGCCTTCAAACGTAAGCAGCATTTAGAGTCTGACCCTGCAAGATACTATACACAGTAGACTAAAATTCCACATAAAATCAGGGGATTCCAAGTTGGACACAAAGACTGGGGATTTTACCTGCAGGACCTGGGTGAAGGAGTGTCCCTGCTTCCCGTTGGTGGGTGGGAGGGTGTCATGAGGGAAGTCACAACCCATCCATAGGTAACAGTGCAGCAGGTCAAGAGCCAGTGTGCAGTTAGATGGGTGCTTTGTGTATGTGTCTAGGCTGTGCCATATCTGACAACACCAGATGCTGGGTACTGTGGCTGTTGGGAGAAATGGTCTGTGACTGCATGGAATGGGGCTGAGATGGGCTGGAACTACCTTTTGGTCCATGGCAGTCTTCATTCTCCATGAACTCCCCTCTCCTCATCTGTCTAAAAGTACTCCTCATCTGTCTAAAAGTACTCCTCGTCTACCTTAGTGTATGTCCTGTGACCTGCCTCATTTCAGTGGGTGCCAGACTGAACAGCAGGTCCATGTCTGATTTTTGTCTGCCTTTAAACCTACCAAGAATTATCCCAATTTAGCCCAAGAAGACAGAAAGGTTCATGGTATTCTAGCTGAATTAACATTGATGGAATTATAGCTGCTATTGTCAACTTACTTTCATGGACAATCCATGATGAATGAAAAATCACTTTCTGAAGTGTGTATTTTCTTAGCCATGGTTAGTTACAGAGATGAAATCCAGTTTCATACTGACTTGGTTGGTTTTGCTGTGGCTATCTTCATTTGCCTGCTCCTTCCATCAGGAAGGCAAGAAGCTGAGAATGTCTGTGCCAGACAATTCTCTTCACATAGAATTCTGTTGTCTGATGAAGTCATTCTTCACTGCCAGCAAAACTGCTCCAGTTAGAGTTCAGTGTCTCCGAGTTTCTCATTGCCATTGGAACGTGGTAGTTCCCAATTAACTTATCTGTTTTCAAGCTCTTCTGGTTGTGTTATCAGAAGCAGAAGTTAAAACATGTGTGTCCCACAACGTACCAAGCTTTCCAGCTGGACTTCCCCCAGTCGAGCACGCATTCTGTATGGAGGAGATAAACATGATGGACTTTTGCCTTTACTGGAATTGTTTTGTATCTCTGTTGAAATAAACTATGGTGGGTACAAATCTTTATTAAAGAAAAGCTATAACCAAAACCTGGCAGAGCTTCTGGATATGTTCCATGCAGCTCTTTCACTAAGCACTGTGGCTTTTCAGCCTATTGAAATACAGCAATTAGAGGCAAGTTCTGAGAATTCCCTGCTAGGAAGAGCTACTTCTGCTTTCAGGTTTCCTCAGATTTGAAGGCTGAAAGTCCTTTTTCTAAATTAAGAAACTGGAATAAAGGTAAATCAGAGATACAGTGAAGGTCCAGTCCTGCAGTTGTGACCCATCAAAATCTGATGGAGCATTTCAGCAGATCTACCAAAACATTTGGAAAAATCCCAGATAATCTTTTGGGCACCAAGTCCCTTTGTCAGTGGAGAGGGAGGTAACAAACACTGATGAAGAAGTAGTTGCTTGACATTTAACCTTACTATTAATTAAAGCACTTGAGAGAAAAAATGCAGTATATGTGGAGCAGGAAAATGGGGGCAGAAGCAAGGAATGATGGCATTTGTGATGGGCCACCAAACCTGTATTCCAAGAGCTGAAGGAGCAGTGCAGTGCAGCGTTCATGTGAGGAGATTTTATATCCAGCCTAATTTTTTAAGATATTCGGAGTATTTTAATATATATGTGTGTGTGTGTATGGTCGTAATATATTATATGTCTGTATTTCATATATATATGTATAGTTGATATATAATAGATCTCTTTATCAGGGACGTAGTGATAGGACAAGGCGAATGGCTTTAACCTGCCAGAGGGGAGACTGGGATGAGCTCTGAGGCAGAAGCTCTTCCCTGTGAGGGTGCTGAGGCGCTGGCACAGGGTGCCCAGAGAAGCTGTGGCTGCCCCCATCCCTGGCAGTGTTCAAGGCCAGGTTGGACACAGGGGCTTGGAGCAACCTGCTCTAGTGGAAGGTGTCCCTGCCCACGGCAGGGGTTGGAGCTGGAGGAGCTTTAAGGTCCCTTCAACACAAACCATTGCATGGTTCTGTATCATGTATTGCATGTACATATTCCTGTTTGTGTTATTTGCATTATCAAAGGGCAAACTGTTGACTCTTAATCCCCGGAGTAAGACTGATGGTTAAGTGTTGCCTGATACCTTGTGTCTCCTGGGAAAAGCAAACCCCCAGAGCATCCCAAGGGCTGAGTAGGTAGGACAGGGTCCTGAAGGGCTGAGAAGTGCCACTGAGGGCTGTTCCATACCGGAGCAGCAGTGGGTGGGTAGGTTCAAGTGCTGACTGTCAGGTCAGACCTCTTTCTTTTCCCAATTTGACAGAATGCAGGAAATACGATCTAGGGAAAGGGAAACAAGATCAAAATGGAGATTTTTGAACTTCAGTGTCTGAAGATGTCTTTGGTCTGCTTTGTTTCGGTCCTTGCCATCAGATACCCTTTCAAGAGAACTTTCTAGCCAGCTCTCGGCATGTGAGAGAGGCACTTTGACAAAAGCCATGTCCATCTACAACAGGCTGAGATACTTGACTGCATTTGTATCCCAGTTCATGTTTTTTCACCACTGATCTGTATTAGGCTGACCTGAAATAGCCCAGTATCACTTTGGAGATACATACAGAGACTGCACAGCTATGCCTAATTTTCTCCCAATCTAACTCCCTTAAAAGCAAAAAAGCCCAAATAAACAAACAGCTGTCATTGATCTTGGCTGAAAATATTCATAGTATAATAGTAGCTGCTGTCCTTAGAAACAACAAGCACTTGAGATTTAACATTTTAAATAGGAGATGAAATTAATATTTGCTATAAGGGATTCAGCTTATATTGTAACATAAAAGTGATATGTCTGTTTATGCTGGTGGTTGCATTAGGTGGCTGCTCTCTTGTCCCAAGGAACAAGGGATGGGACAAGAGGAACCAGCCTCAAGCTGCCCCAGGGCAGGTTTAGCTGGAGCTGAGGAACAATTCCTTGCCCAGAGGGTGCTCAGGCATGGGAACAGGCGGCGCAGGGCAGGGCTGGAGTCACCGTCCCTGCAAGTGTTCACAGCCCGGGTAGCCGAGGCCTCAGTGCCAGGGGTCAGTGGTGGCCTTGGCAGGGCTGGGAATGGTTGGACGGGATGAGCTGAAAGGGCTTTTCCAACCTGGTTGATTCTGTGATTCTGTGATGTCAGGTGTCTCAGCTGGAATGTACCCTGGAGGTAATTTCTATGTCCCTTCCCTTTGCTCTCACCAGTGCTATTGCTTTGCTCTCACCAGTGCTATTGCTTTACCTGTTGTTTGTCTCTGATGTTAAGAGGATAAACTTTGCGGTTTGATTCTTCAGCTTTGGAGGAATTGTCTTCATCACTGTTTGAAGCAGTTGAAAAACATCCTCACTACTACAGAATGATGATGTGGGGAAACCAAGTGGTCTTTCTTAAACTGCCTTATTGGATACAATTGATGAACAGTGTCCCTAAAATTGCATTATTATAGACTTCTCCTAGGCAAATCTGCACTTTGGGGCATGGCGTCTGTAGTAGTGTGATGCTTTACAACTTCCAAAGGTTCTGGTTTGTTCATGTTTGTTATCTGGTCCTTGTATAGCATCTAACAAGTGTATTTCCCATTTCAGTTTGTCTTTATTAGAAGAATTTGACTGCAGCTGTAATGAGTTGGAGTCTCTACCTTCCACCATCGGCTACCTTCACAACCTGCGGACGTTGGCTGTGGATGAGAATTTCCTTCCTGAACTGCCCAGAGAAGTGAGAAGCTGATTCTGTTTTTAATTACACCTTGAAGTGTTTGTGGTAGGCCCAATTTTTCATCCCTACTCAGACAAAATATGTCTTCAAGCAATTGCTTCTGCACAGTGTGGAAGAAGCATGTTCTTACGTACTCACTTCATACTTACATACTCAATACTCTTACATACTCAATAGTAAAATAGTAAAACCAGTAAATTAGTAAATTCATGTAAAGGTGAGAGTATCCCTCAGAGTAGTGCAGGTAACCCTGGCATTTCCCTGATGTTACAGGCAAAGGAAGGACATTGCTTTAAGACTAGATTCTCTATTTGCTGTATTTTTGGCTACCTCCCAACATCAAAAGTTAGTTGTAAGAAATTTTATCATAGCAGATATCCTGATATCTTTGGGTTTTCATCCCTCTAGATTGGGAGCTGTAAAAATGTAACAGTGATGTCTCTACGCTCCAACAAGCTGGAATTCCTCCCTGATGAAATTGGGCAGATGCAGAAGCTGAGAGTGTTAAATCTGAGTGATAACAGGTACAGTTCACATAATTCTTCTAACCCATTGTAAGGATTTATTTATATAAAAATTATTTTTAGGCTTACTTTATTTAAACTATAAGGAAAAAATCTTGATTTATTTTCTTTAATCCATATGGTTTGGTCTTAGTTCCACTGCCAAACTTGAATGGGGCCAAGGTCTGGGTCTCAGTGTGTTTTAACAGACTAAAGCCTCTTTAGTTCTTTTGTCTCCTGCTGTTTCCATGTGGAAGTGTGATATTTGGCTCTAAAATTGTATACAACTTTGTAATATTTAATGATTAAAACATTGTGACAAGCTGATGCATAGGGAATCGTTAAACGCAGGCACACTGGTGTGTTCTCCTGTTATCCTACCTCTGCTGAAATCAAAAGACAACTGTATTTCCTTCAGCAGAGCAAAGGTTTTGTCAAAAACCAGATTCTTCTGTTCCTATTCACATGATTATTCCTGAGAAATGGAGTCCTTAACTGGTCCTTTCTTGACACTCACCCCATGTCATCAGGTCAGGCTTTTCCTTGAGGTTTACACACGTGTATGTTCTAAGAGTACTTGAGTTTTCAGTATAACCACAGAAACACAGGTTTGCTCAGTAGTGCAAAGTAGGATGTACAAATACCATTTTGTTTCCTGTAATTATCATCCATACTCAGCAAAAAGCAGGGGAAGGACTTTCCACACCTGTGTCTATGTCCTGTCAGCAGTTTCACCGCTGAAATTTAAGGTTGAACATGAAGTAACAGAAATCCCTGTAATATATTTGTTTAATTATTTGCTTCATTCTCTTAGATGATTTTCAGCATTTCAGTTGTGTATCATAAAATACTTGAGGTATGGACCAGAACACAAAGTTTATCTTTAGTTTGTTGAAACTGTCCATATCCCAGAATCGAACGTCGGGTCATTGATTTTGGGTTTCAGATCCCAGTGCTTCCCCGGGGCCAGGGAACACTGTCCCATCAGCACATCACCACAGCAGTGCAGGTTTGTGCTTTTGTCTCTGCAGCTGGAGCCTGAAGCTGTGTTTCAGGCAACCCTTTGGTGTCACTCAAGCTGGTTCTTGCCAGCACAGGCATTGCAACTTCCCTCGGCTGTTCTGCACCCGTGTACCCTGTCCTGTCCTGCTGTGCTTCTGTTGAGGTGGACAGTGATCTCGAGTGCTTACTGAGAGGAGGCTGCCACCAACATGGTGAAGTTTCAGATGATGTCTCCATGGGCTGGTCCACCTTGCTGCTGCGTGGCCAGCACACAGGAGGCACAGGGTGGATGTAGAAGTGCAGAGGCAACAGGACAGCATGGGTCTGGGGCCTTGGGGGACTTCAAGGAGTAGCACTGCAGGATGCCTTCCCTGGCACATTAATCCAGTCTGCGCTGGATCACTCTGACCCCTTTTCAAACCTGTAGTTGTGCCATGAGTTTGTATTGAGGAAGCAGAAAAATAGTGTGAGTTTCCCTCTGGTTTTGGCCAAGTAACTTTAAAGCCAGGTCAGCTGCTGACTTCAGGCACAGGTTTTCGTGTGTAATTGCTGAGAGGAGGAGGAGGTGGTTTGCTACTGGGATAAAGCACTGGAGGTGATAGTAGCAGGAAGGGCTTCCAACCAAGCTGACCTGGCAGCCGGCTACCACCAGAGCAGCAGCCCTGCCCCACCTTACTTCGTCCCCAGCTGCCCAGGTCTAATAGAGGATTGGGGTTTCTGTTGTGGAGGAGGGGACCAGCATCCTGATGATGTGATGTTCCACGGGGTGGAATGGGCTGCTGTCCTTCCCACCCACCCTTCAGTGCTGGCTGGTAGCCCTGCATCTGCCCCTGCACTTGCGCAGGGCTCACTGGGCACGTCACTGAGCTGGTTCATCTCACTGAAAACAGAAGACGCTATCGTTGTTCTTGTGTTCATTTTGTGACACTCTTTGTGGTTGAGTTCCTCACCACTGAGTATGGAAAACACCCTTTAGCCAGCCAAAGGTGCACCAAAGCAGGTGGGAGGCAGGCAGAAGAGGACCTTTGTTGGGGTGGGAAGCTGTTCTCTCAGATCAATGTGAAATGCTGTACAGATGGTTGTAAGCATTGCAGGTCTAGTGGAAGAGCAGAGTCTAGCCCAGGAGAGATAGGAACTGACTCAGACCATAGACCTTCAATCTTTAAAGCTGGGTGAATTCTCATGGAGTTTTCTCAATGGGTTTGGGGAGTAAATTTTTCTTCCTTGTTGACATCCATTCCAGCTGAGGTTAAATGTTGTCCTGCTGAGACATCGTGATAATGCTGCTGTCATGGAAGTCCCCACCTTCATGAAACTGAAAAGTTTCAACATTTTGGCACCAAAGGCTTTAACAAAGTTCAGATACTGTCTTAATTCTGGGGTTTAACTTCTATTTTTACTTTTCTGGTTTCCCATTTTTCCATTCATACCAACATTAAGGCAATATCCATTCTTTCTTTGAATGAGTCCATATGTCTGTGCTAGTAAGGAGCATACTTGGACTCTGCTTGTTGCTAGGAACCTTTCCACATCACTACAACAGCTTAGCCCCTCTGCTCCTCCTGCTTCAGCTGTGCCAGAGGAGGTAGAGCAGCCCAGCTCTTCCCCTGGATACCCCTGCGAGCCATTAGAAAAGACACAGACACACAAGCAGAGCAGAAAGGTAATTCTAGAGCCAGGGGGTCAGTGCATGTGCTTCACCCCATGGTGATGGGCTCCTCGGTGTCTTTGCACGTTATTTCTCTCTCAGAGGGAACAGACTCTCACCATGACTGTCAATCCATGCGCATCATCAGGGATGTGTAGTTTGACAAAGGGGATCTGTCCACTGCAGGTTCATTCCAATGAATGATACCTCAGGGTCACCTCCTTCTACTTCATCGCATGCCAGATTTCACCTCTGGTGTCTACAGCTGTGAAGATAAATAGTGCACTTGTGTATCCATTAGCTCTTATGTCATTGCCTTTATCCCAGTGACTCTCTGCTGGTAGCCTGGGTAGACAACTGTGGTGTAGAGTGTAAAGAGGAAAAGAGGAGCTCTCTCTCCCTTTCATTATCTGGAGCTTGCTTGTGTATGAAAGTTGGAAACATTTTGGGAGACTTGGTGTAAAAGCCTGACTGGATGTCCCTCAAGGAGGAGACAAACCTCCACAGACCTCTTTGCCACCCAGGCTAGTGGGAATCTCAAAGTGTGAGTTGGCACATTTTGCTCAAAGGTGGGTCAGTGTTTGGAGTCCCCCTCTAGTGCGTTTTTAATACTATGGTTTCAGCTACTACAGACTTTTGCTCTTGTTCCGTGTCTTCTGAAGGCCCTCATCACTGTAAGATGGACCCTGCTGATTTTAATTGACCAGAAGCTGATTTAGTTCCAGGACATTCTTCAAATATTCACATTAGAATTCCATTTTAACCAGGAAAACAGACTCCAGCTTTTCTTTCCCATGCCATACACTCTAAGGCTGTACCTATATGTCCCATCTCCATAGCTGGGAGTCCTTTCTCCTTTGATCTTTACAGGTCCAAACCTCTTCATCTCTGGGAAATGCAATACTCTGTTGTCTCTACACGCTAAAAGGCAGTGATGGGTTGAATTCTGACTTGCTGAAGGTGGAGCCTAAGGAGGGTTAGTGTGCAAACACCCAGAGCTTGGGGAGCTTCACCCTTTGCAGTCAGGGAAGTTTTGACTTGAGATACTTGCAATGCAGCTACCTGGAGGTTCATCCTGGCCTTTGCCAGCCATAACACTGTCTCCAGTGCTTCAAGAACCAAGGCAGCATTTGATAAGTAGTTGTGCAATCACTACTTGTACAAAAGATACTGAGACCTCCAGCACGTAATGAGTCCCTGGGGGTAGCTGCTTGGATTCGGTCACTGATAAGAGTACACATGGGATTCATTCAAAGAAAAACGATGTCTTACCAGTAACCGGTGTTCTTCACAATGTGTAGTCCACATATACATTTGTCTTCCATCTGCTTCTCCTCTCTCCTCAGAGTCCTTCCAGGTATGAGTCCTGTGATTGAGAGGTAGAATTGTTAGAATGTACATTTGGGCTACACTTCTCAAAGAGCATCGGTTACTGGTAAGTAACCTTTCTTTTAGTTTTAGATTGTGCTTAAAGAAGAGCTGAAAGAATCATCACCTTTCTGTGTTTGCACTGCTTCTGTCCTGGGGTCAGAACTCAGTTACTGCTCTGAGTCTCACCCACAGAAGTCAGACAAAAAAAGGTCCTAAGGTGACATGATCCATTCAAAACAAGGCTGTTCCCTGGTGTACCTCTTCTTTTTCTGGCTAGATGTTTAAATTATAAAGTATTGCTTATTGCCAAAGAGGCCATGTATATCCACAGTGGTTTCGTGAGCAGTATGTTGATGGGTTAATATAAATCATGCTCTTTTAAACTTCCCCACTCTGAAAACGCTGTTATTACCAATTTGCTGAGAGCTTCCTTGGAGAACTGTCACAAACAGCAACTGTCTCTGGGCTTGACTGACAGACTGGGAATGCTGCTTGTAATGGTTAGTTTTCAACATGTTTGCACGTGAATTTTCCCTGTTTGGGTTATTATTAAACATTCTTTCTGAATGTCACCAAAGTATGACATGTGCATCGGTGAATCTAGAAGGTATTTCCCATAAGCTCTTCATACATTTGTGTTGCTCAAAGTAATAACCAGGGGAAGCTCTTCCCATCCTGTGAGCTGGATTACTTAGGACATAACAAAATTAAATGTAGTACCCGGTACAGATGTGAAGTGGGTTATTTTACAAAACTATGAGAAAAAGTATTATTATCAAGAAGGAGAGGTTAAAGTTATGTCCATCAGGAGGCTTCAGTAAAAGCCAAGACCACCTTTGCCCCATGAGACCCCTCAAATATCAACATTTGGTGGTTGTTAGATTTACACACCATCAATGACATTTTCGTTGCTTTGCCTGTGTCCCGTGAATAATATTTTTTAAGTTTTTAACCCTTAAGAACTTAACAAATTATGTGAAAGATGTGATCTAGGATTAATGATGGAAGGAACTGTAGTTAAGTCCTCACTCTAGACCAGCATAACAAGGCTGATGTGTAGCTTCTCTGACGTTGTGAAGTCGTATGGTACAGTGGTTTAATGTTTAGGGGTGGCATGTCAAAAAGGGTGCTGGGTTGGGTTTGGTTTTATTCACCTGAGGACCTTCAGGAGACATTTCTTCTTTCCTTTTCTCATAAGAAAGCATTTTCTATGTGATGATTGAACACTATAAATGAACATTGGCATTTCAGTTGTTTCCAGACTGTTACTGTGGAGAGTTGTTTCCCTGAAAAATCAGTTGGTGCATCAGGGTTTACCTTAAAAGAAATATTTTTATTAATAACTTTAAAACTTTCACACTTACCAAGGTCATATGTGATTTTACCTGTAGCTTAACCAAATTAATATGAACCGTGGAACCCCAGACTGGTTTGGGTTGGGAGGGACCTTAAAGCTCCTCCAGCTCCAACCCCTGCCCCGGGCAGGGACACCTTCCACTAGAGCAGGTTGCTCCAAGCCCCTGTGTCCAGCCTGGCCTTGAACACTGCCAGGGATGGGGCACGCAGATAATCTCTACAGCTATTACGTTATCAGCTCTTTTTACAGACTAGTGTAAGAGATTGCAAACTGAGTTATTAGTGATTAAAACATTGCAGAGGAATGGAACTGTTGCTCATGCAGGGAACATGCCAAGCAGGCACCTCCTAGAACTGGTTTGATTGTCCTGAGCAACCAGAGATACTGTTTTCCCATGGACTTTATGTTTCAGGACACTATTGGGCTGATGCCTGAAGGAGGGTGGTGGGCTCTGTGGCCGTGTTTCTGTCCATCCTGTTCCCCATCCTGACTGCTGCCCTTGATCTGTCGAACCTTCTGGTAGAGAAATGGCCCCATGGAAAGGTCCCTTATTCAGTCTGAGTAAAATACCAATCACAGTAAGAACGAGTCAGTTTGGTACAGCCTAGTTTGCCTTCGATGTGTAAGTCAATTTGATTTGGCCGTCTTCTTAATTAACTGTCTCTGCACCAGTTAGAGTTTTATTTAGTTCTGGGAATATATTTTCCCTTAGATTGGTAAAAACAATGTGATTGTCCAAGCTGTCTAGTGAGAAGTTTCAGCATTTCAGCATGAAAGAAATGCTCTCTGTTGAACGGCACAGCCATAAAGTTTCATTTCTCTGTACTGACTGCAGTCATGTGCAAGAGCAATGGAAGCAGTGCAGATTAATTGCTTTTTTCAATTACAGATGAATATTTCTCTCTTCAGAGGAGGCCAAATCCTTCACTGAGGATGTGTGAGTTAGCTCTTAGGAATCAGCAGGTTATATTGATTTATGGCAAGTAGGATCTGGCCTAGAGGATGTAGAAGCAATCAACCTACGTCCATGCAAAACTAATGTTTGAGATCCTCTGTAGCTGTGGTATATCCTTGTTTTGACTGATGAAGGTGGAAAAACATTGATGTATTGCCCTTTCATGGTTAAAGTAATGCAGTGTAAGTGCCAGTTATCATGGGCCTTGTTTTGACCTCGGGTAGAGCATGAAATCACTTGGCAATTCAGTTGTTGGCGAAGGTCAGAGTGTTCGCATGAGCACTGTCAGTACAGGTGAGGGAGAGATGTTCCTACAGGACACGATTTAAGGAGCAGTCTTAGTTTTCAACACCAAATTGCAGTTAGACAAAGAGGGTTGCCTGGGTTGAGCATTTTCCCAAACCAGCCATGATTTTGAGAACCCTCATTCTTTGAGCTCTCATTGGAGATTTCTTCCTTTAAAGACTCCTTCAAATCTGGCCTTTTCAGATGTTGAAAATCGGCTATCTAGGCTTATTGGCAAAGAAGAATTAAAAATAACTAATTCTGTGTTTTGTTTGAGTATGGAAATGGAAACCAGCTTGGAGATCCCCTTCCCACACACCATTTCTGAAGCAAGCTCAGCAGCTTGGCTTCTCCCTTTGGTACACACTTCCCAACTTGAGCGTGTTGGAACCACCACCAGTAACCTCTGTAGATAAAGGCTTCTGTCGAGTTTTGAAACTTATGTTACTGCTACTGAATCCTAAAATGTACAGAAATAACAGTATCATTTGAAAGGCAAAAGTTCTTCTCTTTTTATACAGAAGAAAAGCTCTGCATTAAACACATGGTTAAACACTATTTAAGCACCTTTATGTTAACTATTAAAGCTCAAACTTGTAACCTTAATATATTAAGAGTGTCCATAGTGTGCTGTTCCACAGCAGTAACACTGAAATAACACTGTCTTCAGTGGTAATAACTTTGTGGCAAAAATACACCTACAGATTCCATAATGAGCACAGTTCCAAAGCACTGCAGAGCGGCAGTGGCATAAAAGCTGGTGAGGTGCTTATGTCCCAAAAGTATGGGTAGGTTTTAATGTGCAGAAGGCTGCAGGAGTGGTGGTGGTGATTTGGTGGTTGATGGCAAAGGATTCTGGTGAGGGTGCCATGCACGTGGGGCAGCATGTTGCCGCCTTTATCTGAGGTGTGAGGGAACATCTCTGCAAGAGGTTTTCTTTCCATAGCATTCCCATTTCCATAGCTTTTTTCCATAGCATGGGGTGTCTGACTCTCAGGAAAGGGCTTTTCCTCTTCCCTTGTTAAATCACATTTAGGTTTTGTCTTTGTAGGCAGTCCTCTGGTTAGTCTGTTTCTTCGTACAGTCCTCCAGCTCCTTCAGCATCCCTAACACAAAGATGGGACAGTGTCAACGTATGGTCAGGACACTCGTGTTGGTATAGACCAAGAAGTAAAAAGAACATGCTCAGAATTAGCGGGGAAAACCTGAGTGAAGTTTCCACAAGGATTTAGTCATTCTGTCCCCGCTCCCACATTCACATCACTTTTACAAAATGCATTTACATGTATAACTAGCATGTTAATTTTTTTACTGCTTCTTTTAATTCTGGCATTCAGGTTCACTCGGAATATCTATAGTATTGTAATCTTTTTCCCAGCATTTCTGCAAAAAGGAATTTTCAATAATCTCAGAGTATTTCTGTTCCAAAGTGTAAATGTCCAATAAAAGGATTTCTGTTACCTGAAAACTGTCAGGTCGTCCTGTAAGTGTCCCTGGGACCAGGACTTTTCCTGTTTGCTGCATTAGAAGCTGTAACTTTGGTTACCTTACAGCCAAGGCAAAATATCATTCTCTCCTCAGTACTTTTAGGGTATGACATCAGTAGTTTTAGGTTCCAAATGTCACTCTTAATGTGGAATGCCTTTAATAATCAGTTATATTTTCTTAAAAAGTGAGAGCAAATAAAGAGGTGAAATCACAGCAATCTCAGTATGGTCAAGATAAACATGCAACATACAAAGCCTTAAAAGAAACTATAGTGAAAATGGATTCATGTGGTTCCAATATTATCCTTCACAGGCTGAAGAATTTACCCTTCACTTTTACTAAACTCAAAGAACTTGCAGCTTTGTGGCTTTCTGACAACCAGGTAATGACTTTGGGTACTCATGTTTTCCTCAGTAACTTGGGGTCTTAGCCAGGGCTGGAGATGAAACCTGTAATTTAATACATGATTGTAGGAGAATTTTACAAGTATTTGCTCCCAGTTCAGCTTTATACTTTTGTATCAAGGCCTTGATTCCTCTGGCTGCCATTTATCAGCTTGGAGAGATCACCTTTGCAGGATTTATTACTCACATCTAGCTAAGCTTCTCTAAGGCCAAAAGTATCAAGAGAATGTTTTGTAAATAGAAATTCCAGAGGTAAGACTTAGTTCTCAACTTGTTATTAGCTTGTTCCATCCTTTCCTCCATCTATGCCTCTGTTCTTGTCATCTGCCTTTTCCCTTTCCCTGTCCATGCTCCTATTCCTGCATATTTTAAGTTCTATTAAAGTCAGTGGGAATTTAAACCTGTAAAAGATGCACCAGAACTCTTAGGCTTGTTTTGGACAAAACTCCCATTTAAGTTCCTTTTACATTTAAGTTTGCTTTTCTTTGTTCTAAAGGGTTTGGCTTCACACCTATATGTTCTTTGGATCCTATTTTAAAACAAATGATGTAGCTTCTGCAACACTGAGAAATGTAACAGTTCAACCAGCATCTCAGCACTGAAATAAGTCCTGGCCCTCTCCAGGATTGGTGGATAGGATAATTTTGCACTCCATAATTTAATCCTAAATGGAGAAAATCCCCGTTTGTACCAAGACACGTTAGAGATTACCTAATGGTTTTTAATAATCTCAAAAAGGTCTCATAATCTCATTGTTCCCACTTTGCAATAATGCTTATAGTCAGATATTACACCTCTTTAACTGCAGTTGATGAGGTTAATTCTTCAGGGGCCAATTATCATGCTACCAGAAATGAATCTGTCCTTTTATCCACATGAAAAAGCCCTCATGGAAGCAGAGCCCAGCAGATGGGGACATTCCTTTGTCCAGACATCAGATGACATTCCTGCTGACTCCTGGCCAGGACGCACCATTCAGCCAGGCTCTCACATCACACCAAAGCCAAGAGCAGGGTAGTCAGTAGATTTACACTGGTGCTGCTTAGTGCACTGCTCCTTCTGTGTACTTCTTAATTCTATAGCTAAGCAAAAAATGTTAAAGCTAAAGGGAGGGGAGACTAAATGGAGACATAACAGAAAATCCCAGAATCCCAGACTGGTTTGGGTTGGGAGGGACCTTGAAGCTCCTCCAGCTCCAACCCCTGCTCCGGGCAGGGACACCTTCCACTAGAGCAGGTTGCTCCAAGCCCCTGTGTCCAACCTGGCCTTGAACACTGCCAGGGATGGGGCAGCCACAGCTTCTCTGGGCACCCTGTGCCAGCGCCTCAGCACCCTCCCAGGGAAGAGCTTCTGCCCAAGAGCTCATCTCAGTCTCCCCTCTGGCAGGTTCAAGCCATTCCCCTTGTCCTGTCCCTACATCCCTTGTCCAAAGTCCCTTACTTCAGCTGATGTAAGACACAGCAGTAACATCTGGATATTCAGAGTCCTCCATGTAAATTCTCCAGGATCTTGCACCAGTTTTACCCTCAGATGAACTAATAACTGTCATGAATTTTCTCCTTGTTAGGCCTGGCTTTAAATAGATCGTAGCCGCAGTGTGGGTGTTTAACTGTAGCTGCAGCTCTGCTCCACTGGTCCTTCAGCTTCCTCCATGGAATGACTGAACGTGCAGTCAGTATTTCTGGTAGATGGGGTTATTCTGTTGATCCTGGTAGGAATTCCAGAAGTGAGGAATGGGAGAGGAGGCTTTTCCACCAAAGTAGTACTTGGATTAGTCCATAGAGAAGTTTGTTTTTATGCAGAATTGTAGTTAGTCTTGTATTATCTGTTTATCAAATGCTAAATCCCCTCTCCACACACATGCTGTGAATTAACAGTTCTCTGTTTTGCCTTTCTGCGCAGTCCAAGGCTCTCATTCCGCTGCAGACTGAGGCTCACCCCGAAACAAAGCAGCGAGTACTGACTAACTACATGTTTCCTCAGCAACCCCGCAGTGATGAAGGTAAAATGCCATCAGCTTTGCTTGCAAAGGCAGGAGCAGAGCTAGTGCAGATAGCAGAAGAAAGAACAGAGAGAGGGAGAGGAAGGGGTTTCAGACCCAGTTCTCTGTGTGTGTGTCTCTGCTGACACACAAAGCCGGTGGTCCACGCTTACCAGGCTCTGTTTTGTCATACCCAAAGGAATCCTGTTTACAAATCCTTTTTTCTGAGCCCATCAGATTTACATTTTCCTGAACACTTCTATATTTTCAGCACAATGGCTTTGTAGAAACAACCTGAACTTGGGAATTGAGTGTGCATGGGACAGAAATGCTAATATATGCCTTGCTGCCATGCAGGTGGCCAGAGCCAGCTCAACCTGCAGGGACACTGGACCCATCTGAGGTTGCTGTGGGGTGTCCAGCTCCAAGACGTGAGGTTCAGAGCTCTGAGCCGAAGGGAATTGAGGGTTTGGCTCCTCACATACCTATGTCAAGAGAGTTTTCATACATCACTCCAGATCTGCCACGAAACCCTGATGCTTCCCATCACTCTCACTTCAGTTCTAATATTAAACACTGTTTGTAAGGGTTTATGGGTTACTGCTTTTACTGCCCCCTCAACAGTTCTAGAACAATAACCCAAGATGACAGGATCAACTAAGAACATGTTCTTTAGATCATTTCCAATCTTCTGCTGGGTGCACTAATGGCTCTTTGCAATTTAACTGTAGATTTCCAGTCAGACAGTGATAGTTTTAACCCTACTTTATGGGAGGAGCAGAGACAGCAACGTATGACTGTTGCCTTCGAATTTGAAGAAAAAAAGGAAGAGGAGGAAAATGCAGGGAAAGTTAAGGTAAGTTCTATTTGATTTATTCTGGAATTCACATAGTATGGACAGGGTCCAAGTTACAGATCTTGGATTGAGCTGGTTTTGAGTTCTAAATACCTAGAAAGTACTCGTCACCGTGTTTGAAGTACAGCAATTGAGGAAGAATAGAATGTCTGTTCTTCCTGAAGTCCACATCACCAATTTCTGCTTTTGCTATTGCTGTCTAGGCAGCAACACTTTGATTTCGTACATCAGCTCAGGTCCATAGCCCTCATGTTGGGTTCCTGCTGTGCAAGGTGTTTTGTCATGAAGACAAAAATAACACAGAATGTTGGGAGACTTAGAATTCATGTCCCACCACCTAGTTCCTGAGAAATAATTGGATCACACAGGGGGTTCCATGTTCCTCTCAAAGCCAACGGGATCTTTGCAGCTTCATAGGGTTACACAGGAATGTGCAGTGGAGAGAGTCTCTCATCAGGTTTGTAACATACAAAAAATGAAGATCAAAACATGAATATCCTCCTCCAGTGAGCTGAAATCAATGTAATTCCAGAGGTTTCAGTAGAGCCCATAATCTGTTACGTTCTCAGGACATTGTCAGGATCATCTCCATGTACATGGCATGAAAATTTCTATTTCTTGACTAATAGAAAGGAATAACCCTGGATCAAATACTTAAACACTGCAAATTCTTACCTGTGGGAGGATACCCAACATCAAATGTATTGCCAGGGACAAAAATCCTATGAGGATTTTCCTTTTAAATTTAGCAATGCCGTTATTAGGAGTTATTTAACATCCTGTTTAGATCTTCTTGGAAATTCTGGATTTTTCCTTTTTAATATTTTTCCTAGTTAGGAATTCTTGTCTGACTCTTGTAACCAGAGATAATGGACTTTGCTGCTTTAGTAAAGCAGAGAATGAAGCCCAAACACAACCTTTGCCTCACAATAAAGAGATTAAACTGAAATTGTACCCCAGATGAATTGCAGGTTTATGGGTCATAAATGGAAAACAGCATCTGGGAATCTTTCTAAGATGATAGAAGAATTTAATTGTATTGTATGGTATTTGCTAGTGTTACTTTAAATATTGGAATGTAACGTATGAATTACATCACTTAGCCATTTGGGGTTTAATATATTTCAGAACACTATGAATGGCTGAAGCAAATGTTTCCTCTGAGTAAACTGTTCTTGTAGAATAACTAACTCCTTCCTCCACTGAGCTGTTCCCCTACATCAGTTCAAGTGCTGCCATCTGCTGCATGGAGAACAGGGAAGCAGAGAGACAGCACCACACTTCCAGGTTTCCTAGAAACAGGACCTAGCAAGAATAGCTGCCCTGTGCCCATGCTGTGAGCAGATGTCTCCGTGGCGTGATCCCAGGCCCCGCGCTCTGTTCTGGAGCTGTTGGGGGTGCAATGATGCTCTGGTTGTGGTGGTTCTTACCTGTTCTCCCTCTCATCCGTAGGGAGCAGGCATAAACCAGTGTTGTAGAACATGTGTTGTTTCTGGATGAGATGCTTCTATTCCCACATAAAATCCAATGTTCCTCTCCTCCAAAATTGGAGAATCATGGAATGGTTTGGGTTAAAGGCACCTTAAAGCTCCTCCAGCTCCAACCCCCGGCCACGGGCAGGGGCATCTTCCACTAGGGCAGGTTGCTCCAAGCCCCTGTGTCCAATCTGGCCTTGGATAATGGTCTTAATGTCTTCTCATCAGTCCAAACCACTAAACTTTGCAGCTGATGTTATACTTATTGCTTATAAATGAAAAGCTAAGCAGGGAGCTAGGACCCGATGAGGTATTTTCTTCTGTCTGTGTACCTTGAACAGAGCTTCTCTCCTCCCTGGTATCTCACTGTGTGTACACCAGGTACCTAGAAATACCTGTAGTGTATAAAAACTGAAAGTAGAGAACTAATACTGTTCAAAGCTAGGAAGCCTTGCCAGGCTGTGAAAGGAAATGATTTCCCACTGGAGGTGTGTCTGGGATTTTCCCTTTCATGGAAAAGAGTCTTGTTGCCCAAGCCATGAAAAAACGACCTCAAAATCAGCTACTGTTAATAAGCTAGAAATGCTTATTTGCATCCTTCTGGTGTGTCCATGCTCTTTCCCAGTAGTGTCAATTCAGCTCTAGATACAAATGAGCATGAAGGTGTTGTAAGGACTTGGCTGAGCTGTCCACCAGCCTGTGTTTAGGTGCATGGGCATGAACTAAAGCTAATTGCTGGAACCTTCTGAGAACTTAGTGTGCGTCACACCATCCAGGTGTGGCCATAGGTCACAGGGAGGTTTTACCAGGTATGTTCTTAGCAGTTTTACCTGACCTTTATGGGATGAATTTGAAGGTTAATTTAAATTATCAATAGGCAGTAACCACAGACATCAGTAGTATTTTATAGCATGCATAGTTCTCACTTTTCATCTTTCCTAGTTAAAACTGAACTCTCAGCCAACTATAGGTTCAAACAGATTTATTTGGTAACTGAAATTGTTCAGTAATGTCTTCCATCAAGAATTTTGAACTTGAAATTCTCTTTCAGGGTCATGCTCCTTTTGATGTAGCATTAAACATGCAGGAGTTGTGTTGACAGGGAGTACAGATTTCCCCTGTAATGATAAGTCTAAACCAGTGATGAAAATATCTGCATTCAGAGGATATCACCTTCCACCACTGCCTCATGAAAGATTTACTGTTTAATATTAATACAGTGATACCAAACTCTTGCTGAAATCCCTGCCTATGACTTGTCTATCTCAGGAAAGCCTTTCAGTTAATTTTTCCTTGCCTAGTACAAGTGAGAACTTGCCCTGTGAGTTGGCTTTTAGCTGGCTTTGTCTGCAGACCTTACCTTTAAATCACAGTCCCAATGCTGGAAAAAGCAGTCGCCTCATTAGGCCACATGGAAATACGATTTCTTTCAACCGTAAATCAACCAGAGCTTTAGTAACACTTTACAGACTTAATTTATTATTTTCTGTTGAAATTCCTTCTTAACATATGGCATCATGGTCATACATTTTAACATTTTGTGTTGAAGTCATGTCAGAATCGATTCTCTGTACTGTTTCTTTGATTGTGGTTCAGAATTGTATTTCTAGTATTTCATACGGTTTTATTTTTCAAATCGATCATGCTTTTGCTTCTAAACTATTCCTATGAACAGACCATGCTCATTGGAACCCAAATTACATTTTCCCTGCTCTTTAGGAATTTAAATTCCAACAGCTATAACAGTGAGCTATCAAAAGTAAGCTCCCTTGGCTTATCTTGCATGCACAATGAGGCAAAAGCTTCTTTGTAGTAAATGCTTTCAAATACTCATCACATGGTAAATGTGGGGTGATTTCAAATTTCACAGCCTCATAATTGGGAGCAGTTATCCTGACATGCACTGGGAGCTGGACGTTTACTCCACTGAAGGATTCTGTTGCATGTCCACCCCACATTCAAGCTCTCAGAGAGCAGTGGGCTCAGCCAGCACCAGCTGTGTTTCAGCTGACTGTGTGTGGTGCCCAGTCCATGCACCCAGCACGGGCTTGCTGCTCCGTAGGGTGGGCTTTCTGGTTCCCCTGTGAATCCCATGTGAAGCCACAGCCATCTGTCACAGCTTGGACAAAGGTGGTGCAGATAGGACAGGTTCGCAGTGGGGAGGGCAGGAGATGCTCTGCGGAGCTGAGGGCCCTATGTTGAGAGGGAAGCATCTGCCATAGGGCTCGAGGGACAGACCCATAGGTGTCCACACTCTGCACAGCCAGGCAGCCTTGCCAAGGTAATGCTTTCTTTGGATGTACACTCCAGTTTGCTCAGCACCTCTTCTCATGACGTGTGACACTCAGCAGACAAAATAGGTGCATAGTGCAGGAGGTGAACGGAGAGGTCAGCATCACGAATGTCAGGTTTCCTGCTCGGATCGTTGCTGACGTGGGCATTTGCTGCACCATCTCCTCAGAGCAATCTGCTGGCAGTGTGATGTCTTCCCAGGTGATGGGGTGATGACACCCATGAGCCTTCTCAGCCACTCCTCCCCATTCACTCAGCCCTGAGATTTTGGAGATTTTGTCTTCAAATTAGCATTGCTTTGGACTTGGGAAATGTGATGTTTCTCTACTTCTGAGTGATAAAAATTAGAGGCTTAAAATGTGGAGCTTTCTAGCAAACCTGTAGGCCTGTCAGTCACTCAAAGTACTATTTGGGTGACTTTTCTGTCACGTTTTGAATCTGTTTTCTTGTATAAGAAAAGAGTAAGACACACTTGAGTGCATGTATGTACAACAAAGAGCAAATAGCTCCCGGTAGATCAGTGTCTGTTCTCAGCTGCCACAGATAATTCAGATGAATTGAGAACACTGAACGTAGCTGTAATTAATTGTGCATTGTACTGGTTTTCAAAGGTGTGGTTTAATATGTCAGTCCTCTCAAGCAAAGTGTAGAATTAAAATACAATACAGGGTAGAAGATAGGCTTATAGGGAACCATTCCCATCCATTATTTTCTGTCACTGAAATTCCATTACAGGTTGACATAGTGTAACTGAGAGCAAATTTCAGTCCAAAACTCCATGAAGATAGCTGTATGTAACACGTTACCTCAAACAGACAAGTAAAAATTTGAGGGATTTGCACTTAGCCCTAGTACTGTAACCATGGTTTTAGTTTGCATGCTGTTTTCATTTTGTATTTGTGCTTTAATTCTTTTTATGAATGTTCAGGTTGAAATAAATCTAAAACGTTATCCCACTCCATACCCGGAGGATTTAAAGAATATGGTAAAATCAGTTCAAAATCTGGTGGGCAAAACAAGCCATGGAGTACGGCCTGAGAACGCAGCACCAACCGCCAACAGTGACCAAACTGTGAAAGACAAGTATGAGCACAAGTGGCCCATGGCACCAAAGGAGATTTCAGTGGAGGTAATGTAAAAGGATCGTTGTTCCTCTCCAGAGTTCAAAATGAGGTTCTCACGTAACTCCCTCTGGTGATATGCTGCATCTGCTGTGAACTTCCTGCCTAAGAGCTCCTAGTTTCAGTCCATAAAGTTAATGTAGTTTTATATCCAGTTGCTGGTTTTCCCAATACTCCTGAGTTTATCAGACTAAACTTTTGGTTTTAAATCTACTTAGATCTGGATTTATCTATTGATACATAAGAGCACTCTCCTAAATTGTAATGATATGACTTGCAGATTAGGAGCAGAATGGGCCTGATCATGATTTACGTCTCAGACTTCAGTAAGTGCATTTCTGTGTCAGATACGTTGCTGGCACATCAGTTTGTTCCATCTGACCCCACGATGCCATTAGGCTCTGCTGCTTCTGTTCACACTGTGTTGGTGGATAGATAGCCAGGGACCTTGTCAGAAGTGAAGGGAGTCAGCAGGAGTGCTGCTTCGACTGCAGGGAGCTTTAGCTCAGGTTTCCTCTGCACAGAGGGGACATAAACCAGGTTGCAGAATGTAGCCCTTGGTATGTTTGCCGGAGTGGATTGCAGTGTGTAGTAACAACATCTTCATTTCTAACATGAATGCAGTCACTGAAAGGTGAACTCCTGAATACTGCAGTCTTGTGCAAAGCTGCTACAAACAGCTGAAGCTTCATCTCAGAGGGCACCTACTCATTAACATTCACACTAATGACTTACTCTGTGCAGGCACAGTCTGTAACTAAGGGAAATCTCTTACCCTGGCAGTATGCACTGGTAGTTTAAAAGCTTGGCCAGGTCTACAAGAACACCTTGAAAATCTTGATGGAGTCTTTATGTTGAAAAGAAAGAAATGAGGACAAGAAACGATCACATTATCTTGTCACTCCTCTGCTAGTTACACATTATGCTGAATTCATTGTCCTTGAAATATCCCTGGCTCTGGCTAGTTGTGTGTGCATGAGTTTTTCTTCCTCAATTCTCCATAGCCTTAACATGGATTGGCTGTTCTTACATATTCAGCAGCTGCTGTAGCTGCTTTGTCCGTGGATGCTGTTTTATTTACACTGCATTTCTTAGGAAAAAACCCCAACAAAACCAAACCCAGAAGTTTTCCTTCCAGATGGCTTCAGAAGACTTTCTTCACATGTAGGCACAGGATTGATTAGTCCCTCAAACTAAAATACTTACGTTAAATAATTAATGTTTTTATCAAAGTCTGAAATCTGAAATTCCACCACTTTTCCTTTTGACTCTTTAAATCCTTTCTTACTGTGTAAATCTGGCCTTTGAGCCAGCATATGACTTGCGGTGTGAGCATCGACGTGTTCTGCTGTTGCTGCTGAATACATGCAGTTTATTTTGTATCATGTAGCTTTTGAACTTGAATATTCTTAATAGCTTTCTGTAGGTTTTAATTATCCCTGCTGTGAACGTATTATCTCTCTGGAATTCGGATCAATGTTGGCTGACAAAGGCATTAGGTGTTTGGTCTTGTGGCTGTGGTTTCAGAAGGAGGTGACTGTACTGGTTTAGTACAGCCTAAAGTAAATGTTTGATACAGTTCAACTAAATGTTCAGTTGTAAAACTAAGATGTTACTGAGCCACAGCAGAGAGTCCCGTGGGTTCACAGAGCCTCTGTTATGGGGGAGTAAGGAATGAGTAAATTGCAGAAACACCATAAAATACTAGAGTTACTCTGAGATGCTTGTCTTATGCAGTCTGTTTTCTAACACAGAAAAGGGTGAAGACAAATTTCCTTCTTATGTTTTGTTCTTTGATCAAAATGCATTCACTTTTGCAACAGGAACAGAGTCCTGTCTGGTTTTCCTGTGAGTGTTCATGAGCATCACAGAAAGCATTCTATAAAAACAGCTGAATTGCTGAAGACACTTGCAGTAATTCCTGAAGTGCAATTAAATAATGTGATTGCAACTTCCTACTTAATTTCCTACCATGAGCAACTGATGTGAGCACATGACTATTTCCAGCAGATCAGTGAAGGTGTATTTTTCATCTTCTGATATTGTAATAGTGAAGATGGTGGAACTTTTTCAAGATCTTAATATCCCTGTACTCAGTCAAGACTAGTATCATAGAGCAGCAGGTTGGAAGGGGCCTCTAGGACCATCTGGATTAGTTACACAACTACCTCCTCAACTAAAGAAGAGAAAAAAGTGTTCCTGTCATTCACACAAGTAAAGGCACTGGGAAGATGTTGTGGCTGTAAAGCAGGATGCTGCACACATTTGCCTCTCTTTGGCTTCCTGCATGAAGATCCAGAGGAGGTATGGGAAGCTGGGAAAAGGGTGAATGATTTAGTGAATAATATTAGCATGATTTCAGTTGTAACACATTAAATAAAACATAATTAAGCTCCATTTGCTTTGCAGATAATTAGGACACATGATCTCAAGCCTCAAGTTAAATACAGTTTGAAATTGCAGGTGTGTTCTGATGTAGATTTAGGCTGAAGACAGTTTCTAATAACAAGGTAATTTGATTTCAGGTGCAGCGCTCACTTTTTCATCCTCAGAGGCCAGAGAAGCTGGTTTCTTTTCTGATCATTTTTGGGTTTCCTTGCAATTAATTTACACGTCTCTTCACAAAACTGTACCTAAATAAGTAAAGGGAGCATTTGAAATGAGTAAGAAGCTACATTTCAAATACCCTGTATCATCCTCCACCTGCAGTTCTAATAAGCAATTTCTTAGGTAATCATCTATCGAAATAAGCATCTTCATTGTCCTAAGAATGAATGTCCTGATGTCTTTCATGTTGCAAGATGTGGATTTTGAGACAAAAGAAACAAAAGGAAGTCTGGGATAACTCAGTGTGTTGTGTAGCCATTCCATGAGAAACAATGAGAAATATCTCAAATCAGATTTCAATCAAGATCTTTATAGTTTTGATATTCTTGAGATGTATGGATTGAGAAATAAACTGGAAATACTTACATATAACTCTCAACTTTGGATCAAAAACCCCTCTTTTCTAGTCCAGCCTACAGCATTCTACCCTCTGTGTTAATTCCAAGCAGATCTGCTCATACTAAGTAGAAAGGAGAGATTGTTACTCTTGAAGTGGTCCAATGAAGATCCTAGTGCTAGGAGCTACAAAACTGCCACCTGAGCTGTATGGGATCTTCTGAGACCTTCACCTTATCTCAGCCAAAATCAGACCTCAATCCTTCTAACTTCTGACCCTGTCACTGTGTGGGTTTGGGTTGTGGGGTTTGCTGGGGGGGTAGATGTGTGGAGAAGAGTGTCCCTTTTGTTTGGTTTCTAGTGAAAGTTTCACAGACCTTCCTAGAAGATCATCTCGCCTTTCCAGGAAGGCTTCTCTTTCCCCCAGGATGCCTGGCTTCACTTGACTCAGTCCATGTGGCTACTGTGGGAGCCGTTTTCCACTAGTGACATGCACAATGACAGGCTCTCCTGGTTGGGAGAGGAATATATGCTACAGTTTCGGTTTGTATCTGCTTTAAGGCCATGTCTTGATAAGCTCTTTGCAGCAGAATTACCTGTATTTTACCAGGAATCAGAAATATCCTCATTATAGCAGTTTCGGTTTCTCAACAGCACAAAAGATCTTTACTGAGGTTATGCCCTTGGTGCCTTCTTGCCAAAGGAGAAAGGAGGTAATGGTTTCCTCATCTGGAGGGCTAGCTCATAAGAGACCTTCCTTCAGGTAGGATGTCAAATGTCTTAAAGTTAATTTTCAGTTACTTTAACTTCTACCTGACGTTATTTAAGTGTCTGGATTGGAGGGGCATTGTTCAGGGCTGTCTCCAAGATACAGCTGCCTTCCCTAAAAGACATCTCCTGACCCCATGAGGCTACTGCTCTGCATGAGGACGTGGGAGCTGCAGTGTTCTATGTCTGGGAATGGCATCTGTGCACTTGTATACACAGCACGTGGACGTGAGACACATGCAACTGGGTGCAGTTCCTTCAAGACAGAGAGCAGCAGCAGTTTGTTTCCTCCACAGATGAGAAACTGCAATTCACAGATCAACGTGTTGCAACTCAGAGCAGTGCTGAGACTTCTGTCGTCACACTGAAGAGACCACATTCAGAGCTGGACAAGAGCCTCTGCATGGTTTGTAGCTGAGGGCGATGTTAGAGGGTCCTCTGGAGTACATGACTGACGACTGGTCAGATAAGCTCTGTTTATGAAGCTCTGAAGCTTATCTTTGCAGAATCCTGACCATGTCAGCTAACAAGCTTACCCATATGAGATTGAACTACTGGAAATGGGAATTTTCATTCTAAACTTCATCCTTGTAAAGTGAGGACCTCTAACTTTGGTTTCTTTAGTGACAGGTAGTTCTGGTCAGTTCTTGGGTGCATCCCTTTGGTTGTATTTCTGATCACCTGGATAGGCAAGGTCAGCGTGTGCATTCTTCAAACTGCTTGTTGGTCCACCTGCCTGCAAAGCAAAGACACATGGCAGGAACAATCATTATGTCCTACCTGCAGATGACAACTTCTTTTCCAGGATGTCTTTCCCTGTGAATCCCCAAAACTACTGCTGCCAGGTCTGTTCCTCATGTAATTATGTCTTCTTGTGAAGCTCTGTCGTTTGTCTGAGGTTGCTGCTGGAGCTGAAAAGGTGAGAGCTTGCTGCACCAGCGCTGTAATGTTGTGCTGGCTGCTGTGTCACCTCTGCAGGTAGGCAGTGTGTCAAGGTTCCTTCGATCTCACGCTTTCAGGTTCTATATTCACATTCAGAAGTTTTCCTTTCTCCAGTACAGTTACATCTTGTATTAACATCCTGTTTGGGAGAACCTTCAGATCTAATGGCTGCTGAAACTGGCTTTTCTGGAAGCTGCCGCTGCAGCCAGAGATTGGGACACATTGAGGAGCAAGTGGAAGATCCTTCCCTCTGCTTTCTTCTGGGATAATCCCAGGTTTTGGGGTGATTCTCTGCATTCCTGGATTGAGGACTGAGTTTTATTTACATCAGTCTGATAATTGTTAGCTTGGACAGCAGCATGCCCAGCACTGTGGCTGCCTTTCACATGCTGAGCTTCAGAGAGACTCACTTTGTGATGTTATCAAGAGAAGACTAATCAGTGGGACTTTGAAGCTACTGACCTGCAGAGCTCAGAGGTGCAAGTACTGCCACTTTCTGGGCAGAGGCTGTAACGTAAGTGGCTCGATGAGGCTTTGTTACAAAGCCACACCACTAACAGTGACTGTCAGGAAAGAAGCCCATGTCTCAGTCTTGCTTGTATCTGGGGATATTCTGGTAGCTTCTGGTTGCGTTTGTTCGTACACTTTCTGCGATCTCCTTTATTATTTCATTAAAATCTGGACCAAGTAACGTTTGCCTTAATCTACTTACTTCTTTGCTCCTCCAATTCTTTCTAGCCAGCATGTCATTCTTCAGACTGACACAGCCTCCTCCAGCTTAGAAATACTGCCAACCCTCTACATGGATTTAATTGTTCCTCTGTTACAGACCCATCATGAATGGTCCCACATTCCTCTGCCTAGTGTGTGCTGTGCCTGCCCAGAGCCCCCATCCACTCTGCTCCAAAGCTTCATATTCTTTGCAATCAGACTCCAAGAGAGGTTATTTCAAAAATCCCATTTCTCCACATTATAATTTAATGCTCTAGTGTTGTCAGCATGAATAATAGGTGATATTTCTCTTTCCCAGTTACTTTAATGGTTTTCACCATGTATTTTCTCTTGGGAAATAGCTCACCGTATTTTTCTGTCCTCTACCTATATCTTTCCTGTTAGTCCTGATGAACAAGTTCTGACAACACAATTGCATTTATCTCTTCCCTTTGTGCTTGCAACTGGTCCTATTAATAATACTTTTCTTTCCTCTATTAGCGACCTTTTTGTTCCTGAGCTTGTAAGAAAAAAGGTCCTCTTAAACACAGTCGAATTAATGGAATACAATTCTGGTTTTCTACAACATATTTCATTTTCATGGAATATGCACAAACACCAGACTAGTCCTTCCAAAAGTGTATTGATTTTTGTTGGAATAGCTGGACTAGGGGCTTAAAAGAAGAGCAACCCCCAGAAGTTTAACATAGAAAACTACATAAAATCTTGCACCTGAAATAAAAACCTGTGTTCATCGCGCTGCGAAAATGGAACTGCTGGTTCTTCCTGTCTCACAGCAAGTAGGTTTATTTTAAGCTTGTAACTTATAACATGGCACAATGTTGGGGTTCTAGGTTCAAGACAGAGAAATTAAAGAATCCCAGAAGGGTGACCTGTCTGATACAGACAACACTCATAAATCAACTCGGGGAATCCCAGTTGGGAAGGAGGAAGAAGAGCATAAAAAGAGCTCAGAGGTACAGCAAGAGACTTACCACGCACCGTACTTCAGAGGTGCAGAATTCCCCACTGTGAATGCTGTGCACTTTTGTATTCCCCAGAAAGTGTTTGCATCGGTTTGTTGCACTGCACCAGAAGAGGGTTGTGCTGCACTGGCAGAATGCTGTGGCACTGTTTGTAGCTTTAACTTGTATGTACACCACTACTGTCATGTCAGAAATACCATACACAGCACGGGATCTCTGCATGTGAGAGCAGTTTAAAGTCTTGAATAAGACTTTACAAGCCACTGTAAGACCCAGCATGTAGCTATAGTTGCTTAAATGTTAGCACTGAGGGGGTTCATTAGAAGGGCTGTAAAGGTACGTGGTTTGGGATGGTGCTGCCTCCAGTAGAACACCATATGCAGAAGGATTGAAGCATCTGTTGTGTAAATAATAACATACTCTTCAAGGATAAGTCACATGGCAAATGCTTCTGCAAATCCCTGTTTCCACTGTTACTACAAAAAGTAGTTAGTGGAGAGTAAACCTCTGAAAGTTTTCTCCTGATGAGTAAAGCAAGTAAATTTAAATGTTTTGTAGCATTTTACATTTTAGTAATGGGGTTTGGGGTTTGGTACTCCATTTTAAATTGTTCCTCTTTCCTTTATTGACTTTAATCTGCAAAATCACTGGAGTACCTTTAACCACAAAATGTCAGGGTAAAGAGATCCTCATAGTCTCTCCATTAGCGTTAAGTTCCCTCCTAAGTATATTTCTCCTAACCATTGCCTTCCTCTAATGCAGCTAATGATTGATTTTCTCCTTATATCTCTCCAAGACTTATTTACTAGATACTCTTCTTCTCCAGCCTCCATCCCTTTATGAAATCACAGCTCTCATTCCCAAGCAGATGCATGTTTCTCCTACCCCTCCCCGCAAGGATCTTGGCTGCATTGCCACCACTTCCCAGCGTTGCCCTGCCCGTCTCCACCATTCCCTTTCCATTCTACCGACACACACAGAGTGTGTTTCCCATTCTGCTCGTTTGGCTCCCTTTCCATCCCCCTCCTCCCAAGGGCGGCATTACCAGTTACTGCTGCCATTCCTCCAGTAAATGCCACCCCCACCTCGTCCCCCCAAGACACCAATCTGCAGGCCAGAGTCTTTCTCATTTCTGAACAATTCCAGGGATCAGAAATGCCATGGATTCCCTCTTTGTGTCTTCAGTCCCTTCCAGCTATCCTATGAGCCCAATTTAAATGTCCTAATTTAAAATATCTGAGGGTACCTCTCACTTCTACTTCTGAACTTGTTATTTTCAGTGTATATCCTGTTGCTGGCCAGAACAGCAGAACGTTTGTGCACGGCAGCCTTTGAAGGTGCAGATTTGCTGAACTCTCAGTGAGAAGTTTGAAATCTGAGTCATTTTAATTTAGCAAAAAACCTCTTTGGAGACAAGGTCATTTTAGTTAAGCACTGCAGTAGGGACAGCTGGATCCATGGGAGGAGTTGTGCCACGCAGAATGAATGAGGATACTTGGTCCTGAAATAAGTTGTTGTTGTTTGTTCTGGATTTTTATTCATTCCTACCGGCAGCTTGCACTTCCGTGACCTTTACACCATGGAAATGCTCACATGGCCTTGATGTCTCTCACAAGTTCCAGCTGGTTTGTCCCCGTTTTCAGAACGAAGTCGGCACCAGAATTTTTACGTGTATTTGTGTAGGACTAATGAGAATGCTCAGCTGACAGATCAGCATGATTAGACACGACCCGTGTGGAGGGGCTTTGATGTGTTGTCACATTGATGAAAAGAAGCCTGTGAAATGTTTGCTCCTTGCAGTTTGAAGTGGATTCTGGTTCCTATGTTTACTCTGCATTATTCTATTCCCCAGGAAGCTTTTGGACATCCTCCCACCGAGATGAGGATAGGGGAGCTCCGTCCCTCCATGCCAGAGACTCCGTTGTACCCACCCAAACTTGTTCTTCTGACTAAAGACAAGAAAGGTACTAACTTGACTTACAACCTTCTAGATGGAAGTGTATGAACTGTACACAGGTAGATGACAGAGCCTTGGTCTAGGGTGAGCTGTCCCTGCCCATGGTAGGGGGTTGGAGCTAGATGATCTTAAGGTTCTTTCTAACCTTAACTATTCTATGATTCTATGTTGTACACATCGCTCTGTTTGTAAAACATATTACACACGTATTTGTGGACATGTGTATATATCTCCACAGTATCCATTTAAAAATGTATTTTTCTGGAGTTTAGTTGTCAAATGCCACCCCCTGAAGACGTTTGCTGTGTTTTGTTTCAGAATCCACCGACGAGTCGGAAGCAGATAAGATCCATTGTATGAACAACAGCGTTTCCTCAGGCACTTACTCCGACTATTCCCCTTCCCAGGCTTCCTCAGGGTCCTCCAACACGCATGTTAAAATGGGGTCCTTGCAGACAACGGCTAAAGAAGCAGTGAACAACTCTTTGTGGGGGAACAGGTGGGACCATCTTTCTACACAGCTTCTGGTTGCCTTTCATCTTAGGTTGTCGTAGATATCAAAGTGATTGTGTCCTACCTGTGAAGGCATTCAATTAAAAAACACAGTGGCTTTACCCTGGTTTTGCAGAGGTCTGTACAGCAATTCGAAGCTCAGGCTGTGCAGAGTTGGCCACCCATTCGCACCCTGTGTCAGTAACTCTGCAGCTGGTGGTTCAACTCAGTGCTATAACCATGCATTAGAAGTGCCTAGTAATTGAGCTGCAATTACTCTGCTCTCTGTGGTCCTGAGCTGCAGCTGGCTGTAGTTACACACAGACGACAGAGTGCGTGCCTCATTATTGCTGTCCTGAGCCTCACTCTGCCCTGGTTACCCAAGAGCACCACAGCTCTTTGGAAGCTGCCATTTGCACTGACCATCAGCAACCTGGGAACACTTTCGCACCGTAGCAGGAGCACCCTGCCTGTCTGTTCCTGCTGTAAATCACCTAATGCAGTTCCATCCACAGGCTCTTCCCCATTAAAGAGAGGCTGGAGCCCGCTCACTGGAGATGGTTAAACCCTCGGTGGTGAGAACATGCACATACTGAATCTGGTATTTTTGTTAAAAAGAAATAATCATGTAAGTGTTAAAAATCATCTTCCATTGCACTCGTAGAGGATTATTTTTTAAGCAGGAAAAATACATTCAGCTGGAACTCTATGAAGATGGCATTGAAGCCAACCAGGAGTTCTGATGGCCTTGTTGGTTTGTCTGTGTATGTACTTGCAGGATCTGTGCTCCAGTGCAAAACACTGCTGCACGTGTGCCCAAGCAGTGGCACAACGTGCCCAAGGATCATGGTACGATCCCAAAGCCGGAGTATACTCGGGAGAATATTAAGTTGCCTCATGACTGCGTCTTTCTGATGGCTGCGTATGCTCTAATAGAGGGCATTTTATCTTGTTTGGGTTTGTTCTGTTTGTTGCAGGTTGGCCCAGTCCTTTCCACAGCCCCTTGAAACAAAGCCATTGCTGAGCCAGCGGGAGGCG